GGTATATTCATCTTCTCATCACCCAAAACGCTGGGCTGGCCTACTAAACCTATATGCAAAGATCTATATAAAGGACTTAAAGGGGCTCTTTCTAAAGCATCTTTGAAATATTACAAGCATTATGTCCTACAAAAGGACTTGACTGATTTGAAAGCTTTCTTCTGTTCTCTCTCTCTCTCTCTCTCGCTCTCTCTCTCTCACACACACACACACACAGAGGGAGGGAGGGAGGGAGAGAGAGAGGGAGAGAGAGAGGGAAAGAGAAATATGTATTGGGACATGATACAAAAATATAGTACATATAGTAAAAATCATTATGGATTCCAATCTGGTCCTTCAAATATGATAAAGACATCAGATGAATTCAAAAGCTCAACCTCCACGCCTATAGAAATAAAGAGCAATTGCCTATAGTCTATAAGCTATAATTAAAGGGAAAATGTCAAGGAATAATAAGAAGTAAAATATGGAGATTCCAGATGCAAAATGTAGAATACTTGCTTAATATTGAGGTCAGTTTTGGATCTGTGATCTAATTAAACACTGTTGAATTAAACTGAACTTACAATGCTGTTATTTCATAAAACAGACTAATCATCTACCTTTGCATGCATGAGGCATACAGCCTGGAGGTTAAATGTCAGAACTATCAACCTATCACCTTCTGCTAGTCTATATAAAAACATTTTAGATCAAAGAAAGAGGAAAATTATTCTCACAGGGTTTATGTATCTCAAACATCGCAACTACATTCTGCATTAAGGTCAAAACTGCCAGCCAACCTGACCTTGGATAGCTATCCCTGAGAAAATTACATAAATGAAACCTTCCACAAAATGCATTGCACAATGACCTTGTTCCATTAATAATAATAATAATAATAATAATAATAATAATAATAATAATAATAATAATAATAATAATAATAATAATAATAATAATAATAATAATAATAATTTAATTTATATACCGCCCTTCTCCCATAGGACTCAGGGCGGTTCACAGCATATTTAAAAACAGATACTATACACAAATACAAAAATACAAAAACACAAAAATATAAACCCCAATAAAAACCAAGGCATGCCATTATATTTCCTTTATCCATTCCCTCCATGCTCTGAATTCACATTGGTTATTGTGGATATCTACAAGTTTTTCTAAGATATTTTAGCACCTGCAATTCGTATGCGTGTTGTTGTTCTAGGTATTAATTAATAAGCCTCCTGTGAATATATGAAATACAGCACACAATCAGATTGATCTTGAATTTGTCAATGATTCATCTGCTTTCATGACCTGGTTTCATAAATGCAGTTCAAGTCAAAAACCAACCTGATGCTTTCAATTTGGTGCTAAGAATGCAAATCTCAGAATTCCTAGTTTTTTAAACTTTGCAATGTAGGCTACAAATTCAGTTGAGCTATTGATCTTTATTCTATCAATTCCTATTGAACAACATGAAGGCTAGCATCTTCCCAATTGCAACCCTTCCAAACTGTTTGTCCAGTTGCAGATCCTAAAAATGTTCCACTTGCTGGTCATACTGCTTCTCAATTCTGGAAGCTGTACGCACCATCATCCCGTAGTTGCTAGGCTGGAGAATAAGTTTACTTCCCATCACCGCCTTCTTTAACTTTCGAATGTATTATTTCATATCTAACTTTCTAACATAAAATATGTTACCAAGTGCTGGTTTCAACTGATAAGCCACCAAAACAACAGGCAGCTTGCTAAAACAGAAGCAGCGTCGATAGACACCATCACATTTTTTTAAAGAGATACAGAGATGGAATTTTTATTGATTTTTGAAATGTCACAAAAGAAGATAATTAACTTCTGACCTTTTGGTATTTCTGTCGCCATTGATGTATCTGTTGATGCTGCCATGTAGCAGGCTTAGAAGAAGGAAAAATGTGGCATCTGCTGCGGGATTCCAGCTGAACTGCGGACATAGTCGAAGGAAGTACCCGCTCAGGAAGGATTTGTACTTTGGCCTGCTGTAGGCTGATTAAAAAAAAAAAAAAGCCGTACAGTATGAAAACTGTACCTATTCACTTCTATGGGAGACACAAGTATGTTTACTTATTTACATCTTTTAATTGCATAAACATCTTGGAAAGCACAGCAGGACATTGCTTATTTTAATTCAATATTTTCTAAAAATATCTATTTTGTGATTTCATATAAATACCCTCCCCCCTTCTTTTTGATTTAAGACTACTTCAGAGGTTCCACAGCTATATTTTGGTTGTTTCACATCAGGCCTTATCCTGTTCTTTTAAAATGGGAACAGTTCTAAAGCCAAACAGTAAAGTTCTGGTCCCAACTTTTTTGTGACTTGTTTCATTCAGTTAATTTTGGTATTTTTCAGTAAATATTTGACCATATCAATGTATTTTTACCTGCATAGCCATTTAAGACAAAATGGCAGCAGTGTGCAGCAGCAGCCAAAAAAGCTAGTAAAATCCTTGGTTGTATAAACATAGGCATAGAATCAAAATCACGTGAAGTAGTAGTACTGTTTATAAAGTCTTAGTAAGGCCACATCTGGAATACTGCATCCAGTTTTGGTCATCACATTACAAAAAAGATGTTGAGACTTTGGAAAAAGTGCAGAGAAGAGTAACTAAGATGATTAAAGGCGCGGAGACTAAAACATATGAAAAATGGTTGCAGGATTTGGGAATGGCCAGTCTAGAGAAAAGAAGAACTAGGGGTGACATGATAGCAGTATTCCAGTATTTGAGAGGCTGCCACTTGAACATCATTGACATTGACAAATTCGCCATCAGTCAATTGCAAAAGGCAGCCTTACTAGGAACAGCTTTCATCCTGTGACAATATCTATAATACCATCAAACATCCACATTTGCCTATCCCGGGTCCTTGGTAAGGACTTGATAGGTAGACAAAAATGCCAAATCCAGTCTGAACCTCTGGTTGACAATAATAATAATAATAATAATAATAATAATAATAATAATAATAATAATAATAATAGAGTTGGAAGGGACCTTGGAGGTCTTCTAGTCCAACCTCCTACTCAGGCAGGAAACCCTATACCATTTCAGACAGGAAATCCTATATCATTTATTTATTCAATACCTACCCAACCCAACCAAGTGACTCTGAGTAGCTTACAATTCTAAAATTCTAAAACAATAAAAAACATTAAAACAATAAAAACATCCACAAATTAAATACAAACAGCAGCTGTGATGGTTAATCAACTAGGAGTAAAGCTAAGAAACGGGACTAAATAACACATTCCAAGTCCTGGGCCCAGATAGATAGTCAGGTTTTTAAAGCCTTGTGAAAGACCAACAGGATCTAGCTTTTCCAGATGAGATTTCTCCATCTATTCTAAAGTACACTATAACCAAGGAGAGAGTTTGGCATTTGAGTAATTTTTTTTTTTTGAGGAGGGGAATAGTGAGCCAAATAAGAATAAGCATAAATCTAAACAAAAATTAAAAACTCTAAATCCAATCAAAACTGTTATTGTGAAATAGGAACAGATAGTACATTTATATCCCAAGTGTTTAATAAAAATTTCCATCTGTCATATTAAAAAGTACAATTCAGCAGCAACATTTGGAGGGAGTTCGGGGGCATTCCTTGCAAATTTATAAGGATAACAGAGCAAAGCTCTCCTGCTCAACGATCTACAATTTTTAAAGATCACAACAGCTGGACAGTATTCAACACAAGGCCTACTCAAGCTGATTAGCTTCACCACGGTCAATCACGTGCCAACATGAAACCCACAAACAGGACACAAACACAACTCTCCTGCTCTCATTCTGGCTGCATCTGTTTTATCTGGATGAAGATGACTGCAAGTGTCATGAAAGATTTATCAATCTTATTTCAAAACATTTTCTTAGCACATACAGCTACTTGTGACATTAATGTATGCTGCCATCTTGTGTTCAAATGGCTATACTCCTAGGGTATTTTTTTTTTTCAACTGGGGAAAATACATACGTTATTTTCAATACATTGTACAAAGGAACTGTGCAAATGATAGCTCACTCATCCCATTTTAGTCAGAGCTTCCTTTTCAGAAAGTGTGCTCCAAATTCCCATTGGATTTCACCTTTTCTGTGTGTAATGTAAATTTTTGAGTGCACGTTTCATTAGGACACAAACTCTTCTTAAACTATAATTCCCCTAATATGTTAAAACATATTTGTACTATTGAGTCCAAATTTGCATATTTGCATTTTATCTTTTAATGCATTCCAATTCATATATAGTTCAGGAAAAACAAACTGAGTAAGTCTGAAATAATTCGTAAAGCAAGCTCATTCCTTAGTCAACCTTAATTAATTTTAAAACACTATGAAGGCTCTCAACTGGTAAGTATATGAAGGGATGGCTACAAGAAGAAACCCAGGGTTGAGGTCACACAAATCCTGAAAAAAATACATTGGCATCGACTTCCATGTTTCCAAAACAACTGTGCATAGTTGTGTCTATCTATAGTCAATAGATGCTCTTTAATTTTTTATTAACAGTAAAATACATAGTTATTTAAACTTAAATGTTACTGTCATGAGTTCCATCAACTCATATTTTTTATGCATGCAGCACACCTGCAAGAAGAAATGGATGTGTTTTTGAAATATTTAATTTAAATTAATAAATGGGATAATGGATAGTAACATTAATAGGATTTTTCCCTGAAGATACTTAAACAGTGTTAAGATGAATTAAAATTATTACTACATACTTCAGCCACAAAAGCAAATACAATTACCCAGGACCAGGACCATACAAGATTTCATACTATTATAAGCAGCTGGTAAATAGAAATTCCTGAAGATTAAAAGTGGGTTATTTCATACTAATAAAATAGTATGAAATAACTGCTTAACGAGAATAAATAGCTCCTTCCTTACCCATCAGCTTGAGTTCTTAGTTCAAGTACTTTAAACCGCTGTCTTCCCACAGCTTTTACTTTGACGGTTTCAATTCCATATTCCTGTTCTTCCCGATAGGCATAAATTTCAGCTGTTGTTCCAAAATGTGCTTCTCTTTCAAGTATGTTGCTAAAAAAAATGTTAGAATGAGTGATAAAGGAGCAACTTGTAACATAATGTTACAAGTGATAGTGATAGTATGCTGAAAATCAATGAGAACTTAAGCGTATTACAGGAACTTATGGATCATAAGTAGTATAAATAACTGTTTATACAAGAAATACTATGAACAAAAGGTTGACATGTTTGACTCAAGGAGTAAGAAACAAAGTCTTTTTTGACATATCACAGCAGAAAATCCTAAAACAAAAGGGTCTCAGTATTTTTGCTTTGACATTCAGCAGAGACATTGGATAACACTGCGTCATTAAATCCCCTCAAAAATCACAATTATATAAGCTTCGCTGAGGGGGCTTATATAATTAACTTTTCCTCTGCCCCAAAGCCTGGGAGAAATTATTTCCATAATAAGGACTGTATAGAAGAGTCATATTAATATTTAGTCGTGCAATACAAGTTCAAATAATTTCTTCAACATTAAATTAAATGGGACAATTCCTGTTCAGCCTGAGATCACAGTATGTACTCCAGACCTTGGAATTGCATATTTATTTACATAGTTACCTGTATGCAAGAACAGCAAAGGTTCTGTCTTTTTGTATTAAGTTCCGGACCATGCTAACCTCTTGGGGACGAAAAAGCTGAAGAGGTAATGTTTGTCCAGGAATCAGCATCACCATCACATGGGGTAAAACTGGAATTGTTTGACAGCTATCATCATCATGGACAGTCCTTCCATGAAATTCTTCCATGTCTGATCCTAAATACTTACATTTTTTTAAAAAGAACAGACACAATTAAGTGGGAGGATTATCACTTTTGTTTGCAATTTATAAATACAAAACCTAAAGAGAATCCTGGAATAAACTCAGAGAAACACAGTGTAAAAATGGTTGACCCTTGATAGCAGGGCAGCTACTACTGGTAGTAGTTTTGAGCAACACTACTGAAAAAGAATACACCAAGCAGTAACCAAAATGTCTATGGAGAGTCTGAATCATCCAGGTCATGGTTGCCCCAAAGGTACTTTTTCCAAAAGCCAACTGGACTTTCTTGGTTTTTTCCTCTGAAAACATTTTGTTTCTTATCCAATTGACTAGTAGGGAATGGAAGAAGCTTCTTGGATGAGAAGTTAAATATTTTCAAACAAAAAAAACTGAGAAAGTTACCTTTTGGAAAAAAAACACCTTCGGGACAGTAACCAAAACATTTCATAAAAAAGCTTGTGATTGTCTAAAAGTTTACATAATAAAACAAATGTTAAGTGTACCTAGCCTCAATTTTTCTTTTTCTTTTTTTAGCAGTGAACATTCTGTGTTCACTCTGAACGCAATATTCCAAGATGAGAAACATGTTTGCATATTCAATTCTCCTGCTTACATATTCACTTCGGTCAAAATATTGTCTGCTTAGGCGCCGCGAGTCGGCATTTGATTACACTGGAAAATAAATATTATATACAAAAAATAAATCCACTTGCTAAATAATAATCCTGAGCATGTGCACAAGCAAAAAGGGATACTTGCAAACTATAAACAAAAGTAGTTCAATTATAGCAGAGTACCTAACATATTAAGCTGCTGCATTATGAATTTAGGTATGCTGATTCCAAAGAAACAGACTGTTTAAGTTCAATAAGCCTACAAAAAGGCAAGCAGATATTCTATGACAGCACTGTTCACATACCATATGAGAGGTTGGCAGGCTAGTGTCAAAATTAATGATGTTTGGCTTTTCAGCATCCCTGCTGTCTTGATCTTCAACTTCCATTTCAACGTCATCCTCTTCCTCACTCTCGGCTAACAAGTCCAAAAGAAGTTTAAATGTATTTTTAAAACATCATAACTCAAACACGAAACCACAAAAATTAGAACACCTTTTTCAGTCGACCGTACACTGAAAACTATTTTAAGTTTCATGTACAATCTACTATGTGGCTGGAACATCAAGAGGAATATTGTTATTGCATGCTTAGAAATGGAGAAATATGTTAACACAGAGACAGGCTCTCTTCCTATGGAGAGTCATCTGATTTTTATTCTGTTCCTCGCAACCTGCTACAGCCCATATCTGAGAGTGATTTTTGAACTTTGAAAAAATTGTTTCAGTATAGTTAGGGCAGTATTAAGCTCCGTACTGTTCACAATTATCACTATTACTTACATATTCCATCAAAGTGACTCAGCTTTTATTTCATGCATTGTGTTAAGTAAACAAAGAACTACTCGTGCATCCTATTTAACCTCTTCAGTACCTGATTCATTAATGGGTGTAACTTTCTAAAAGAGGGGTTCCCAACCCTTGGTCCGTGGACTGGTCCCGGTCCATGGCATGCCAGAAACTGGTCCATGCAAACAAGCAAACCCCCATCCGCAGGATGCAGGCAGCACATGAAACCACGTCCCCTCCGATTCGCGGAAAAATCTCTCTCCACAGAACCGGTCCTTGGTGCCCAAAAGGTTGGGGGCCACTGTTCTAAAACACAGGAAGTTGCCATTCACTCTTAATACTAAGATGTGGTTCATTCTTTGCCTCAAAATAGGTCTGTTTGGATTCTCTACATGGTCTTTCTTTTTAAAAATAACAACAAGAAAAGAAAAGCAGTTGATGAACTTGCACTGTATATTGGCTGAGGAATTAAAGCTTCTGAGGAAGGATGACTCATTTTACTGCAGTGGCACCATGGAAAAAAAACCCCAAGAGACTTTCTGTAATACCTCCGAGGTCTAACACACTCTTTTCCTGTAATATCCAAAGACCTGAAATGCCTTAAAATTAGCTAACATCAAAGTAACAAAGGTTATATTTACTACCATGCTAAAAGGACATGACAGAAAAACAGAAAGCAGCATTTCCTTTTCACTTTCATTTTCCACGGTTGCCTCAGGGCAGATCCATCTCTCTTCAACGAAGCACTTTTCAATCCACAATGTTTGCATTTTTTCCCCACTTCTTAAGGAGTTGAGTTATAAATATAAACAAGGAATAATGTAAATGTAATTAATGTAAAGCACTAAGAATATAAATAAGGATTAATGTAAACGTAATGGACTAAGAATTTTTCAAGAAATTAGGTTGACAGACTGGAAGGTGTATAAGTAGTCCTCGACATACAATCATTCATTTAGTGACCATTCGAAGTTACAACAGCAGTGAAAAAAGTGACTTACGATCGTTTTTCATACTTACGATCATTGCAGGATCCCCTTGGTCACGTGATTAAAATTCGGAAGCTTGGCAACTGGCATGTATGTATGAGGGTTGCAGTGTCCCTTGGTCATGTGGTTACCTTTTGTGACTCTCTAACAAGCGAAGTCAATGGGGAAGCCAGATTCATTTAACAACCATGTTACTAGCTTTAACCATTGCAGTGATTCACTTAACAAATGTGGCAAAAGAGGTCATAAAATGGGGCAAAACTTACTTAACAGTTAAGTGTCTTGCTTAGCGAAGGAAATTTTGGGCTCAATTGTGGTTGTAAGTTGAGCACTATCTGTAGTGTTAAGGTACAAGACTAGGAGCAGGGAGACCCAGGTTCAAGTCCTCCTATAGGGAGGGAAGTCAGGTGGATGACCTTGGGTGAGCCACTCCCCCTTAGCATCAGGCTCTACAGCAAGCCAACTAGAAAGCAAACCCCTTTGTCAAATTATGCATTGATGGCTTTGCTGTGTGCAAGCTAAATGGGGGAAAAAAAGACAAAAAAGCAGAACCAGGACAAAAACTATTGTGGGAAGACAGCACCCCTCCCCCAGAGAAGGAAATATTTGGGGGAATATAAAAAAGGCAGAATATTATATTTCTCCAAAGGATCTGAAAGGCAGAAACCATCCACCCAAAGTCTCTCTGTCCCAAGCAGAAACCAGGTCTGTAAAAATGCAGATCTGATAATCCTTTCAGAAAGGCTGGAGCCAGAAAGCTTAGAGCTGATGGGATTAAAAAGGCAAAGATCCCTAGAACCAACAACCCCTCACCCAAAAAAATCCAACACAGGACATAGCCATCAGCCACAGTCCCAGGGAAGCAGGACATGACCTTTAGGACATAATAGGATTAACCCACCACCATTAGAATACCAGAAGGGTACACTGAACCTCAGGTCAAAGTTCGTGCCACAGGAACAACTCCAAACACAAAATCCCAAGAAGGCATAAAAACCCACCACTCCCAGCAACATGTGATCAGCTGCTCCAGAACCACATGTCTTGTGGTTCTGCTCTTCAATAAGCTACAACCTTCTTTCTAAAGCAGTCTCCATTTTGTTTATTCCTGCCTTGACTGGACCCTGATGAAGATTTTTCTTTCAACTCTATATTTCAGGAAATGAAGCTGTTAAACAAGATGCCACTATTACTAAATGCAGTTAATTTGTAATACATTGTCCTAGTTAACTTTCTAAGCTGAAGCACACACAGAACAATTTTGACCATGGCTTTATTGCAGTCTCTATTCAATTTATATGAAGCCCGTTACGTTTGCATTACACAACTAATTCTACATGCAGATTTCACACACACACATATTATAATCTGCACCAACTGATCTTCTGGAACTTAAAGCGAAGATGCACATCTTCTAAGAATTAGCAGCTGGCTGGCTGTTTCACAACTGCAAGTGAAAAAGCACCTTGGGAGCCCACTGAAGGATTCCAGGAAACTTGCTGAATATGGCAGTTTAGATTCTTTAGAAATACATGAAATCTGCGAAGTCAGCAAGCACTGAATTATAGTGTCAAAGTGACACAAATATGGCCCCATTATGACACCAAACAGCAGTGGTAATGGAAAGAGAAGTTTTGTTTCTCAAAACACACAGCTGCAAAACAAAAGCCATGCATTCTTCCTAAAGGCAGTAGGAAACTTAACTAACTGAACGTGTGATGATGCACTTGTGTCAGTTTGGCTCTGGCACCAATATGGAATTCAGAAAGAAGAAAAACAAAACAGTAATTAACAGAAAAAGATCAAGATATATTGACTATTCCATATAAAAGTAATTAGCATCTCCAAGCAAAATCCAAGAAGGCCACTTCAGTCAGGCTATATTTTCCCTACTAATACAACAACATATGGGAATCTCTGTTTTTTCAAATCATATCTATACAATATGAAGTTACTTTCTCCTTTCTTTTAAAATGCAAAAAATATTACTAAACCCTACTTTTGAAGAAAGCTAACTAAAGATTATGTGATTCCTTCCCAAAAGAAGAACAGCATCACCTCCACTGACACAAAGTCCCGGGGACAATGTGAGATTAAGTTCTCTATTTGCACAGAAAACTGATGGGTTAGTGCACCTCTTCAACCATAGAAGCTTCTGCTGCAAATATCTGTTTCTGAAAAATAATAAACTGCTCTATTTGATATTAATCAGAGAAAGAGGAAAATGGGCAGGATGAATCCACATAGCCCACTCGATACAGCAAGATACTGTTGAATCCAGTTTGATTACTGGTGAGAAAGTCTCTGTAATTTTCTTAGCAGTAATAGGGAAGTGGTTTGGCTTGCAATTGCTTTCTTCCCAGATTATGATTATTATTATCATTTGGTTTCCAAGCCTACCCACAGTCTACAATCTCTTGGTGGTCTCCAATCCAAGTATTAAGTAAGCACCGATTTGCTTAACGTTTGCAGGGAAAAATTCTACAGTTTGAAGAAACCATATCAATCTTCCCTCCTTCCCTCTTTTTTCTGCCTATAGATGGCACATGTTGCCAATCAGAAAACATTCAGGCCCACATAGTTTTAATGTTTAGAAAAATATTGCAAATGATCCCATATTAACTTTCCTATAAGAAATATGTTCTCTTTAAGATTCAGTAATCAAGTCCTGATAAGACTGGGATGCCAACACAGAAGCATTAGAGTTACGTGTGGGCTTCTAAAATATGATATAGTGGTACCTTGCTCAATAGTAGTAACTGTGAGAGGGATCTTGGAATCCTAGTGGACAATCATTTAAATATGAGCCAGCAGTGTGCTCCAGTTGCCAAAAAAGCCAACACAGTGCTAGGCTGCATTAACAGAGGGATAGAATCAAGATCACGTGAAGTATTAATACCACTTTACAATGCCTTGGTAAGGCCACATTTGGAATACTGCATCCACAATGTAAAAAAGATGTTAAGACTCTAGAAACAGAGAAGAACAAAGATGATCAGGGGACTGGAGGCTAAAACATATAAGGAATGATTGCTGGAATTGGATATATCTAGTTTAATGAAGAGAAGGATGAGATGTGACATGATAGCAGTGTTCCAATATCTCAGGGTTTGCCACAAAGAAGAGGGAGTCAAGCTATTCTCCAAAGCACCTGAAGGCAGGACAAGAAGCAACGGATGGAAACTAACCAAAGAGAGAAGCAACCTAGAACTAAGGAGAAATTTCCTGACAGTTAGAACAATTAACCAGTGGAACAACCTGCCTCCAGAAGCTGTGACTGCCCCAACATGGAAGGTTTTAAGAAGAGACTGGACAGCCATTTGTCTGAAATGGTATAAGGTTTCCTGCATGAGCAGGAGGTTGGACTAGATGACCTCCAAGGTCCCTTCCAACTTTATTATTATCCTGAAAAAATTGCTGAAGAAGTCTAAGTTTTAATAGGACAAATAAAGAAAATTGAATATATACAAAGTAATCTTCAACTGTAGTTGATTAATAAAACTAATATTAAACCAAATTTGGCGTTTTTCCTGCCTTGCCAGTTTGTTTGGCACCACTTTCAACCACTGCTACTAGTACTTGGTCTGAAAATAGTTGTGTAGTTCTTGTTCTGAAAAATGTTGTTCACTTCTCATTTATTT